TGGACGGACGGCTCTGATAGGTGGAAGACAAGATAACATAACTTCTACAATAAAGAACCCCCCCCCCCCCACCCCCCAAAAAAGAAAGAAAAAAATAAATAAATAAAAGAAAAAAGAATAATAAACTTATGCCTATGAATTGAAGTTCATGAAACCCAGTAGTGCACTTTCCTCAAGGCCTTTCACATGATCCAATAATAAATAAAGATCATTTAACCAGTCTTAGGCTTTAGTTGCATAATGGGTAGAAGCGAATGCCTGTATTTCACAATTTTCGGTAGCCCCAATTCAACCCCCCTCGGCCCCTCATCTCACCGCTAATTCCCTCCGCTGCCAACATTTGGTAGTACCACTAGTACCGCAGTACAGTCACTGTTCTGTTCTCAAATTTACTTAAAGTTAAAGTAAAGGGCATTGTGGAGTTTGAAAGTTACAGAGACTTCAGTCACATTAGATTTTTTATGACATTAATAACGGATAAATGTGTTTGTAGTCACGGGTTTTGTTCAATTGTCACACCGATGATTAATCACAAGAGATTAATTCCAATAATTGGCAACGTTTTTGCGACATAACCAAAGCAATATGTTGACGAAAAACAGCCCTTGAGATCAGACTCACAAATACACTCTGGCAAAAAGGGCAAAACCAGGCTCTCCGAATAATCACTGGAGCAATGAGGTCAACGCCTATAGAAAAGATGGAATAAACAACATCTATAGTGGCCCTGCAGAGGAGATGAGAATGCAAGGCCCTCATACAGTACACCAAGGCCACAGCTATGGAGGATCATATACTGCACACAAGAACAGCCAGATCAAACACCACAAAACTTAAAAGATCCAACTTCATCAAAGAAAGCAGAAAAATCCAAAGATCCCTACAGGACCATCTACCAGCCACAGTTAACATGCTGAACCACACCCCAGAGGCACCATCATGGGAAAAGAAAAACACAAACATATCTGTACACACGTCCATTCCTATGTTCACCACAAAAGATGACCACAGCGACCTGAGCAAGAAGTCCCTCACCCTGTCCATGCTTGAACAAAGATGCCCACGAGAAGCATGGGTAAGGATCTATACAGACGGATCTGCCACTGATGCTGTGAAAAAAGGAGGAGCCGGGGTGTACGTACACACGTACAGTTCCCAAATGGACGACGACAAGCAGAGGCAGTCCCTACAGGGCGACATTGTACAAACTACAGGGCAGAGACGGAGGCTCTAATACATGCAGCAAACATCATCAAGAATGATGTAGACCCTCCCAAAGCCAAGTAGTATTCCTAACAGATGCCATGTCAGTACTGCAGGCAATCACTTCAGGCAAACTATCAAGGCTACGAAAAGTAATTGAGGACATCCCATGACTGGGGATCATGCTGCAGTGGATTCCATCACACTGTGGTGTCTTAGGAAATCAGCAGGCAGACAGGATGGCCAAACTAGGAGCACAGAAAGAGCAACCAGACAACAGCGTTAACTACACAGAAATAAAAACTATCATAAATACACTATTTAAAGCACCCCAGACAACAGATGGCTACCAAGAGCCAATGACTGACCATGAGCTGTCCCGCCAAGAACAAGTGATTATCTTCAGACTAAGGACACAACACACAAGACTGAGACAACATATGTACAAATGTTTTAAACTAGTACAATCACCAAAATGTGAACACATCCTTCAGCACTGCAAGACGCACGGGGCCCTGAGACAGGAAACATGGCCAACCCCACTGACGCTACAAGAGAAGCTATACGGGCCGACAGATGAACTGAGCAGGACGGCCCAATTTATGACAGATACCAGACTTCAAGTAAGATGCGATCGAGAAGAAGAAGAAAAAAGAATCCTTGAGATAATTTTGTAAGCATTTGGTCTGCTTTTGACTTACTGATATTGTTTTTAAGCGAAATTAGTTGTTTTTTTCTGGACTTAACCCAACAAACTCGACTAGCAGGAGCTAAGGAAATAAGAGACCCTGAGTCTGAGGGTGTATAGGGTAAGGTAGCGTTTGCAAACACAAAGGTTGTCTCCGCGAGATCAGCTCACTATCGCTTTCATTTTTGTTTTTAGCTTGTCAGTTGAGAGGGGAAAACGACGTCAGCAAACTTCTAAAATCAAATAAAGCAGTTTCAACACTTATTTTTATGCCAATAAACTGAGATCTATGAAACACGTGAAACGTGCTTTTACTCCCTGACCTGCTCCATTACTCAATGCAATTGGTCTGGCAGTGAAAGAGTTAACAGAACCGGGTCTAGCAGAGATGGGGTTAACAGCATCGAGGTTTTCAGTGAAAGGGTTAACAGCACCAGGTCTGATAATGAAGAAGCTAACAGTGTCGATCCTGGTAGCGAGGGAGTTAACAGAAATCAACAAGGGGGTAACAATCTCGGGTCTGACCCTGAGGGAGTTAACAATACATGTATCAGGTCTGTCGGTGAAGAGGTGAATAGTGTCAGGTCTGGCATTGAACAGGTTAACGTT